GAAAGGCATGCGTTCCCAAAGATCTATGGCAGGTTCACACTGACACTCACTGCACATCCGCTGTGCAACTAGCCGAGTCCAATGAATAAAAACTGCACAAGAACTGCGAGAAGCTGGAGGGCAGGTGAGGTTTATACAGGGGAGCCCTTCCCGGCCGTGAGCTGGATGGGTAGCTCAGCGGGTCGTATCACCCAGGGTCAGAAATTCAAATCCCCACAGTGCCTCCCGCGAGAAGATCCAAGCGGTGCAGCCTTGTTCTGTTGGGTGGTCTTAGGGCACAGCCAGAAAAAAATGGATGGGTCAACCACTTCTAGGGCTTTGACACGTGGACAGTCCTCAGAAAGTCCACCATCAGTTGGAACCAACCTAATGACCGGTGGTCCTAGAATGAGCTGGAATTTTTAGCATGTATACATGACTGAAACAGCTATGTCTACCTTGGCTCGGGCACGTCGTGAGAATGGCTGATGGTCGGATTCCAAAGGATCTCCTGTATGGAGAATGAGTGCAGGGAAGCCGCCCCAGAGGGAGACCACAGCTGCGATACAAGGAGATCTGCAAGCGGGATCTGAAGGTCTTAGGAATGGACCTCAACACACGGGAAACCTTGACATCTGAGTGTTCAGCCTAGAGGCAGGCAGTGCATCACGGCCTCTCCCAATTTGAAGAGACCCTTGTCCAGCAGGCCAAGGCAGAGAGGAAGTCCCGGAAGCAGTAAAATCAGGGAGCTGGACCGGGGACAGATTGTATTTGTCTTCAATGTGGAAGAGATTGTAACTCTCGAATTGGCCTCCTCAGCCACACTAGACGCTGTTCCAAGATCTCCATACGCAGCAGGATACCATAGTTTCTTGAGACTGAAGTATGCCTAATCTAATGTAGATGACCTGCTGTTTCCCTGCTGGTAACAGCCAGCCTCAGGCCGATCGCACTCTGGAAGGATCAGGCCATCTGATGGCTGCCTTTTGGGTCTGGGCTCTCTTACCACACACACCCAGCACAGTTCTTGGCCTCCTAAATTGGCCAGAATCAGCTGCTTAAGAAGATTAAGAAAAACACATTTTCCCTGGATCAGTTAATGCACCTTTTGTTCCAAACCTAGTCAATTCCTTCTTTATAACTAGAATCCCTCCTTTTAAAATGTAAGAACTACCTTTGTTATATTCCCTAAGCTCCTTTTCTGTTCGACAATGTGGAAATTTCCTTCACCGGTGATAAGCCACCGTAAAATTCTCTACGCTCTGCGCACCCTCCAATAAACACACCTTGGGTAAGGAAGGCGGGAGGCCTCCAAGCTATTAAAAGAAAGAGTCACGAGTGTCCTGTCCCTTGTGGACACGTAGATATGTCACAGAGAAGAGTTTCTGAAAGGTACCTTGCTCGGCAAGAAGTTCCCACCTTCCCTGAAAACATGGCAATCCTATGACTCGTTTGTCTAGTGAAAACTAAAGGGGGGGGGGAATAGAAAAGGTTGTACGCTCCTTGCATAAGACAAACACGAGTGGTGCCTTTATTAGACCACTGAACCCCAACTTATAACGAGCAACATCCAAATTACTTAGAGGCCATCAGTGTAGTTACGCTGAAAAACTAGTTTTAAAGGATGCTTCAGAAAAACTGTCTTGGGATTTTTCCAAGGTTTATGCATTCAAACGTGTCTCAATTAGAATGACTCTCATTTCTGAAGTTTTCTAACAGATAGCTGTGTTAATCTGTGCCAGCGTACCAGAGGGGGGGGGGGGACAAAACAAAAATAAAAAATAAAGGAGATATAAACATTGTGCCACCTTAAAGAATAAATGCTATGTTTTTATGTGAGGTATTGTGGGCAGGTTCACGTCTTCAGACCATAGCATTTGAAGCATATGAGATGTTTAACGACCCCCTCAAGTGAATTTCCATGATCGAGCACGGATTTGAACTCAAGTCTTCTGAGTGTCCAGTCTGACACTCTATCTTTTTTACATTTTGCAGTATTTTGTTCTGTCTTTTCCATTTGGTAAATACAGTGGTGCCTCGCTTAACGAGCGCACCATTTAACGACGAATCCGCATAGCACTGCATTTTTTGTGATCGCTAATGCGATCGCATTGCGTTGTTTTATATGGCAAAACATTGCATTGCAATGATCGGTAAGCGTTTCGCTTACCGATCTCTGCATTGCGATGTTTGCGGAACAGCTGATCGGCGGTTCCAAAATGGCCGCCAAAAGAAGAAAATGGCCGCCCGCTCCATTTTCGCGCCCTGCCCTTGCTTACCGGGCAGCAAAAATGGCAGCTGGATGGAGGATTCACCACATAATGGTGAGTTTTTCCCCAGAAACTCCATTTAATGCGTTCCTATGGGGTTTTCCCCCCGCGTAGCGACGAATCTGGATAGCGACGTTAATCCTGGAACATATTAATGTCGCTATGCGGGGCACCACTGTATTTCCAGTATGCAATGTCAAAATTGGTCACTAGAGGGAACCAGAAAGTACCTCCCTTTTTCTGGTGTTAGCAACATACTGGTTGTAGGCATCCTTCCATCTTGAGAGACGATGGTAACGTGCTCTGAATAGAGGTCTCACAACATGCCTGAGCCAACGTAGACGTTACTGTTTCAGTAATGTATACATGCTAAAAATTCCAGCTCATTCCAGGATTACTCTATTTGGAACTTTGTCCTGCCAGGTGATACCAAGAATGCGTCGGAGGCAACGCATATGGAAGGTGTTCAGCTTCCTCTCCTGCCGTGCACCAAGGGTCCAGGACTCACTGCAGGACAGGAGTGTGCTCAGGACACAGGCTCTGTAGACCAGGATCTTGGTATATTCCATCTTAGCAACAATACCTGCAGGAATTGAGTTAATATTCTGCAATGCAACAAATGAGAGTATGATTGCAGCAAAGAGGATGATAATAATAAAATAAACCCGCCCAAGGACAAACACTAAAAGTTCACTTGTAGCTTCCTTATGTTAGATTGGAGCACTTCATCACAGGTAGGACTTATTTCAGGTTCCTGGCAGTGTAACTGAGTTAACAATGAGTAACTGATTCTTTTCTTTTGCCCTGTTCCATAACCGAAGATAAAACCAGGGGCTTCTGCATTAAAAAAGGCAGAGGCACATTATGAGGTCTCGCTGAACTCATGATCATCATCAATTAGGCCACCTCAAAAAGTAATCTGAATGACCCACATGAATCCTCAGCTCTTGTCAAAAGTAAGATAGATGATTCCCCATCGTCATCATCACCATCACCATCAATTTCCATGACTAGCACTGGAAGCAGCTCATACCATACCAAGTAACAATCAGTCTCACGAATCAAAGCAAAATAGAATCCAACAGATATACGACACTCACATCAACTGATAAAGATTATTGATAAAATGTCAATAACATCCAAGGCAGCAGAGAACGTAAAGCTGAATATGGACAGACGCCTATCCGAGAGAGAAAGCCAAACAGGTCCCCTCTTAAGAGTTCATGTGCAAGATGTATCCGCAGGAAGTGTCTGTCCTTTGCCTTTGAGAAGAAAAGCCGCACTCACGACACGAGCGCAGCTGGAGAGAGATACAAGCAACCCATCTAAGGCTTCTGATGTGTTCCTTGAAACCAAGCGCAGTCATTGGAGGTATGCAAACAGTGCAAAGGAGACGAGCCCAAGGGAGGCCCGGACATTGGCCCCCCGAAACCAGGCCTTCTCTGTGGTAGCCCCACAGCTCTGGAATTTACTTCCCTCTCAGGTGCAATGAGCCACGTCCCTCCTTGGTCTTAAGAAGGCAGATTAAAAACCTGCCTGTTTTCACCTGACGTTTATGGCCTTATTACTCCAGAGTAATCTTGTTTAAATGATTATTTTGGTTTATTTGTTTTTCACACTCATGAACTTACTCTGATTTTGCCGCCTAATATTATTGTACTAAGTATTTATAACTATGTTATAGTTTTTTTTCTTTATTAGTTATTTTATTTTCAGACATTGTGTTTCTTGTTTGCTGTTCCTGTGAATTTTTCATTGGGTCTGGTGTGTACTTTGTGTTTTTGTGATTTTTTTACTGCCTAGAATAGTGGCCCCTGCTGCTTGATCGGCGCGATAGATAGATAGATAGATAGATAGAAAGAAAGAAAGAAAGAAAGAAAGAATATTGGATGGATGGATGGATGGATGGATGGAGGGATGGATGGATGGATGGATGGATGGAGGGATGGATGGATGGATGGATGGATGGAGGGATGGATGGATGGATGGATGGATGGAGGGATGGATGGATGGATGGATGGATGGAGGGATGGATGGATGGATGGATGGATGGAGGGATGGATGGATGGATGGATGGATGGAGGGATGGATGGATGGATGGATGGATGGAGGGATGGATGGATGGATGGATGGATGGAGGGATGGATGGATGGATGGATGGATGTAGGTAGATAGATAGATAAGGGAAGTGAGAGAGAGAGAAAGAGAGAGAGAGAGACAGACAGACACACACACACACACAAACACACACACATACACAGAGAGAGAGAGACAGAGAGAGAGAGAGAGAGAGACAGACAGACAGACAGACACCTGAGCTACTACTCCTGCCGAGCAACGGGTAGCTGTAGGAAACAGAAAGACAGATTTTGGCAAGCATTTTTCAGGGGAAAGTCCTCAAAAGATAACTTTAAAGACATCATTTCCCAAAATTGGGCACCATTTGTGGTTATACTAATGGTAGGAACCTGGCAGTTTTCCTTCTCTGGTTACGCACAACCTTTCCGTAGGAGCTACCTGGAGGAGTAGCGAAACGTTTCAGCCTAACGAGAGGGAAGTCCAGTTGCCAGGACTCAGCTTCCAGAGAACCTCACCTGGAGGACGGAGAACCTTCCCAGATATTTTCTGTAGGAAACTTTGCATGACTCAGTGATGGGCTTGGTAGGGGACCCTGCTCACCGCCTCCTACTCCAGGAACGAAAGCTGCAGAGGAACCAGGAGTTAACCCTTGACGGGGTTTTTGGTACTTACAGTAGACGTCCACTCTTATTGACTTGATGGCCGGCGAGCCCAGGCCGTTCTCGGCCTTGCAGTAGTAGCGTCCCCCTTGATGCCGCTGGATATTCGCAATCCTCAACGTCTCGTTGAAGACACTGGAGTCTTGAAACCGGTCAGAGGCACTTCCTGCTGTCTTGGTCCACCTGATCTGAGCAAACACCAAAAAAGACTGTCACTCCTAGCTTGGCCGTTCGCCCCCTTTGCTATTTTTGCTTCTTCCTTGCAGACATGAAGCTGGAAGGCTTTATTTACACACCTGAACATCCGCTGCACAAATGAGTTTACTCAAAATCAATAAAGAAAAACAATGCAAAACAAGCATTTTGTTTTATTTCTTGCATTTATCATCATCCGGAATAGTGATTTGGCACTCAAGGGTGCAGGACATCAATGCAAGAAATATGTAAAACAAAATAAAGAAAATAAAACATGTAGTAATACAGGCAAACTTATTTTTTAAAAAAAACCTTAGTAAACATAAAACAAAAGCAGCTTAAGCTATACAGTTACAGAAACAGAGCACGCGTCCACTGGGACCTCTGAAGATATTTTAAATCATTTATTTTCCACTTACAAACACCCCTTCTGCTTCAAAACTGCACTGAATTTTGCAGAAGTGTGCAACCCTTCCTTTTTATTAATGCATACTCAGTAAAAACTCCCCAAATATCACTAAAAAACACTCTTCTTTTTATCAAACTCTTTTTAACCTTGATATCACAAGTTAACTTATTATCAATGGCTATATTCCATACTTCTTTATACCAATCACTTAACTGAAGAATCCTGCTTTACTTTCCAGTTCTTTGCTCTCATTAATTCTGCAGCCGTTAGTAAATTTGTTATTAAGTCCCATCTCATTGTGCTCTCTCGAATATTGATAAAACTGCTATTCTAGGATAAGAGTGGTCTTAACCGACCAGGTAGGCGGGATAGAAATGAAATGAAATGAAATGAAATGAAATGAAATGAAATAAATAA